TTGATGATTGAGAGGGTTAAAACGTTTTGGGTGGCTAAACATGCTAGGTCCTATTTGCTGAAAAAGTGCGTGAGCCATCCTTTATTGGCTCTGACTGCAAATAGAGTTAACATTGCTTCATGGAAGGTTAGCAGTGGATCAGAAAATAGACTTGAAACTCAGGCTCTCGGCACACCTACTGTGAACCTATTTTTTCAAAGATGAAATATTTTGAAGGAAATAATAAAAATAATACGATATTTATACAGGTCACCAAATTCAGATTAATAAAGCTGCTATCAGCCTGGGGCCTGTCAAAAGCAAAAGTAAATAAATATGCATGAAATTAAAAGGTATCTAAAACTTATCTTTAATATATGATCTATGAGTTAAAATGTTCACCTAACTTAGTTTTAAAACGTAGTAATGACTTTTTCAGTTTTAAGTTCGATTGGCAATTTGTTAAAAAGCCAGGCCCCTTGAAACTGAATACTTCTTCTATATACTTCAAGTTTTGTGTTCTGAATTTTCAAGCCAACCGCATCCCCTCTGGTTCCTTTTCCATGGCTAATTTTTATAAAGTAATCTTTAAATATATGGGGTGTTAATCCATTTACACTTTTGAATGCATAAACAAAGAAAAGCACTAGTTTCTGCATTATAATAAAAATTCTGCTCCAAATCGAGGTTAGTTATTTTGGCTGGCAATGCTTCTGCCCAGGCCCAAAGTGTTTTTGTAGGGTCATCGAAATGATTAAGCGTGAAAGCGCCTTGCAACGGGTCACAAAAAGAAGTGAAATGTTTACACCAAGACTGAGGTCAAGTATACTTAGCCTCAGAAAAAGTTGCGGTTACTATGGTAATAATTCGTGATGGTGTTAAATTTCATGCAAGTAGGCGGAAAATCTGCGATAAAAACACTTGATCATGACACGCTATCAGGTCGGCGGAACATGAAGGATGCGGAAATTCAAGCTCATTTAGAAGTCTTTTATTAATTCATGGAAAATTATGAATTTTGCTCAGTGAAGTTATCAAGTGAAACGCGAAAAATGCTGGGCGTTTAATTTTTTTAGAAAAAATTCTGCAAGAATTACTGATCATAGCTAAGAAGTTGACAAGTGATACATGATTGAAAGTGAAAGGGGGACTTTGATTCTATGTAAAATTTCAGAGTCAGGGCTGCTGAGAGGTAAAGGAAAAGGTTCAAGCAAAGCAATAAAAACCTGTCATTTTATACACTCTTGCCAACGTACACATTGGCCTTCCTCAAAAGTACTGCATGTTGGAAAACCTTCCACCAGCCGTGGGACCGTAATGTTTTCTAGACTCTTAGTGTAGTGGAATTAGTAATAAAAGCGGTCTAACCAGGATAAAAATAATATAAAGCTGTAATTTGGCACAGATGTTCTATACTAAGTTGGAAATTACCAGAAAAAAGCCCCATCAATTGGACATTGGGAATTCCTTATTAGGGAAAATACCATAATGGTGCACTGATCAGTGATCCGTAGTGGTTCAAAATTTTAATGTTGCTAAAACCACATAGTATTATCTTATAAATTATCTTTTGAAAGATAATTTCATGCTAAATAATTTTTATTTAACATACTTACCCTTAGAATATGCAAATAAGTGGTGATTGGGCAGAAACAAAGTGGGACGAGTGAATATTGAAAAGCACGCAGAAAAAATGGCTGATCCTCTTGCTAAATATTTTCATTTTATATCGCAAATTCTATCGATGCAAAATCATTAAGTGTGTGAATAAGATAAAGTATGATAATACTCACTCAGCCCGGGGTGACTTAAACCGGGCTGACTCAACTCGGGCCCACTCAGCCCGGGCTGACTCAACCCGGGCCCACTCAACCCGGGCTGACTCAACCTGGGCCCACTCAGCCTGGGCTGACTCTAGTGAAATTTTTTCACTGCAGCAGCAAATTCCGGTCAAATCTGAAGAAATATCTAAATATTCAAAACAGAGTAACTCGCAACCGAACGGTCCAAACAACATTATTTTTTCTATATAAACTAATTTAAAGATAAAGATTTCAATTCTGATAGTTTTTTCAACTTTTTTCATTGACATCCTCCATCTTAGTAATTTTTGTTACTAAGACGTAAAAAACACTGCCAAATTCAGTGCAAATTCAAAGTGGCTGCACAAAACTACAGCTTGATGCTGGGCCAGCAATATTCCCTATATGCCCTTCTTTACCAGAAAAAGAGATAACTTCCAAATTGTGACGCTATTAGCCTCGTATTTATGTTATGTTGGGCATGCGCCCGGTTCGTTATGTTATGTTATGTTATGTTATGTTATGCGTGAGAATATGAAATGGAGTATTGAAGTTCGAATTCGGGTGTTCTTTCGTTGTTATATACCGGATATTCTTACACAAATTACGTATGAATTACGTCTAATCTCAATTGAGAAGTGCGCACATGAAAAAGAGGGGGTTTTGAGTGTACCTAGGACCCAAAACCCGGAAAATAGATATGAAAAACGGAAAACCCGGACTTGGAAATTGGAAAATCCTGAGACAAGCATATATATACTTCAACGTGGTTCACCTTTTCCCGTGTTCTGCATAAAAAGACCTTCGTGCCCGCAGTTATTACCAGCAAGAATATTTGTCTGCAAGGCACAGGGAAGATCCTTGCCTTTTTTCTCCAAATGAAAATGTCATCAGTGTTTGCGGAAGAACAGAATTTTAGGGAAATGTGTCATAGATTGCGGAAGTCTGGCAATTTCTCAACGGAACGAGGGAATTCTATTCTTTCATTCCGTAATCAGAATATGTACATATAATGTGGTTTTAGCGACATCAAAATTTGAACCCCTGCTGATCAGTGCGCCATATGGGATTTGCCCAAATAAGGAATTCCCAATGTCCAATTGATGGGGCTTTTTCTGGTTATTCCCAGTATCGTATGGAAGCTAAGTGCCAAATTACAGCTTTTTATTATTTTTGCCCGGGTAAAATCGTAATCCCACCACACTATCTGTAGACGACCTATTAAAAAGCCTCTCAATAAATTCTGGTGCCTAATCACTGTCGAGGCTTGTGATTGACTGAAGAAGGTTGTTGGTTGCCATTCTGTTGTTTAGTGCACGGTGTTATTATGTTCTGTGTTGCAGGTAGTACACAAGAAAAGAAAACGCACGTTTAGTAGGAACGTAACAGAACATATATCCAAAGCGTGCATTCTTACAGCATGGTTCTAATTTATGCAATGGTAAATTAATGTGGCCCGGTTCGAGTGCAAATTAATCGGCTTGGAAACAAAGTAATAAACACACAAAACACAACAAATTTTTCCAACACAAACCTTTATAAAATACTAAAAACTCTTTACCACTCCTAATGTCATTCGAACTGTCTATCTCTCAAAACTAACTCAAGAGTGTCCTCCTCCCGGGGGTAAGTCCGTTGTGTATTATGGTTGAAAGGGGGACTTCGGAGAGGTCCTCACACTCTCCCCCCTCCCCCACAAAATGAATGTCTTCTGGACATTTCAGTCTCCGAGATGCAAAGTTCTTAGGGAGACACATTGATAACAACGTTCAACGTTCAATCTCTGGTGCTCTGACAGAAAGTAGTGATCACTAGGACAATTCGACGTCTCGGTGAGCCCTAAATTACATAATCAATGTCCTTTGAGCTGAATTCTAATTGAGTCTTGATTAAATCCACAAGATCAGCAATAATGTATGATTGTTCGATTGGATATGAACTTTTTCTTTGCTGCGCAGCGAAACTTCTCTTGCGTTGTGATTGAACAGTAGTAGCGTTTTAAAGTTTGCAAGCTATAGGAAAGAAAGACGAGGAAGATTCCAAGTATATCTTGGGGGATCAGGGATAAAAGTTCAAATCTCCTGGAAGCAATGTGTATGGAAATAACTGTGAAAAAGTGATTGGTTAGCAATACTAAGCCAAGGAGAATAAGTTGCAGAGATTTGTAAAGTTGCATTTGTTGATGAGCTGAATAGTATTTTTCTGTACGGATTAGTTATTTTGTACCCTTGCGTTGAAGGTAAAAAAATCTGACTTATATCAGCAAAAAGCGCAGATCCTTAGCTACCAAAATGTGTCTCAGATTTTTCAAATTCCTCTCCCCTTTGAAACTATACCCTGTCAAAAATTGGCAAACAATTTTTCTTCCCTCTCATAGCTGTTTATGACTGTAAAAGACGGACCAGAGCAAATACAAGAATTTTGTGACACACTTTGCTTACCCGACATCTGCCCTGGCCGTGTGCAAACTTTTGATCCATTCGGTTGGTTCCTTGGGTACAAAATAGCTTTTTCGTACCTGTATGTAGACGAATTGTTAGTCCGGAGAAAACGGGATTTTACTGATCGTACTTGCAAGGCACACTCGTAAAGCACAGTGTAGTCCGGGTCAAGTACTTAACATACTGTGCACCGAATTACCCTAATCTAACTACATTGGTACCATGTTGTTCTTTAGCCAGGATGCTTAGAGATTCGAATCAGATTGAATCAAGATCGATAATAGAATTAGAGATTGGGTTTAAGAGATTTATTTATGGCCAGTCTAGAATCATGCACGATTCAGACCCTGGATGTCCTGCTCCTGTCCTGCACCGTGTTCAGTTGACAAATATAACTGAAGAATAATCACAGAAACTCGCAGAAAGTTTATGTTCAGGAGAAAAACCTTTTGAGACGGATTGCTTATATTATTTCACAAGTTGACTGTCGCATGTGCGAACGGTGCAAACGGTGCGAACGGTGCAAACGGTGCAAACGGTGCAAACGGTGCGAACGGTGCGAACGGTGCAAACGTCTAGACCCGCCCGTTGTTGTGGATTTGCTTGTTGATCACTCGTTGAAATATTTCACGTGCAGAATTCGTGCCGAAATTGAGTCGTTTATATCGAAAAAGTTTTTTGTGCGTTGCAAAAGGGGTGATAAAACGGCTTTCAGGGTGCAATGTCAATTGAGGATAACCAGATCGCAGGTCAAGTTTGGAGAAAACTTTTGCGCCATTCATTGCATGTATAAGATCATCCACTGTGGGCTGGGGCGTCGCTCCCTTTGAATGGCTCTGTTTGGTATTCTCATATCGACGTCTCCATCCTTTTGAGGAATAACCAGCGGAGAAACATAGGGTGCTGGTCCATCAACACGCTCTATTATATCTTGATGTATAAGATTATCCAGCGCGGCTTCAACTTTCTTCCGCATATAAAACGGAATTCTTCGCGCGACCTGGGCGACAGGCGGCACAAATGAGTCAATATGCAGCTTGACCTCAAAATTATTCAGCTGGCCTATTCTAGTAAAAAGCTGTGGATAACGGTCTCTGTTAAGTTGGTCACTGTTAAGAGATGTTTTTGAAACAATGTTCAGTTTCAAAGCGACTAGGCCTAATCCGCCAGCAGTTTTGTAGCTAAGCAAAGAACCAGAACGTCCCTCTAATACATGAAGTGTTGAAACGACCATGTGTTTTGTGTTTTGATTCTATCACTGCTTCAAACGTTCCAAGCATATTCAATGGTGTCGTAGAACCGTAAGCAAATATTTTATCTGTTGATTTCATAAGAGTAACAGGACTTTGGTGACAAAGTTTATCAAATGTGTCACTGTCCAGAATATCTGCAGAAGCACCGGTGTCAAGGATCATGTTCACCCTTATGCCATTATTAGTGACTATAGTATGCGGTGTCTTTGCTTGTGGTTGTGGGTTTCCAAAAGTAAACAAATATCATCGCTACTTGAGGCAGACGATTGGCGCAAAGGTGGACGGACGGTTGAGTTGTTGTTCATAGTTATGTTCTTGACTGTCGCATTCTGTTCTTTTTTTTTAGAACTGTAGTTCGTTTTGAGATCTGCAAACTTTAGCAAAATGGTTTGCTTTACCAAATGCATTACAAGACTTTCCACGGGCGGGACAAGGTCCTTTATGAGGTAAGCGGAAACCACAGTTGCCGCATATCGAACTTGCGGACGGAAAACTCTTTGCTGTGCGCGGATTACTTTTGGATGGCTGTATGTATCGACGTGCTCTCACAAAATTTGGCTTTTCGTGCTTGATTGTTACACCACTAGATGAATCTAATGACTCTTCTATTCCTTGTTCTTGATGCTCGCTCACTTCAAAGGCTCTTGCTTTGGACAATAAATTGTCTAACTTTAAAGCGTCTTCGCGGAGAGCGTATCTCCGTAGTCGTTCAGATGTACAATTTTGGATTGTAGCTTCGTTGTCGACATTTGAGAAGTCACAATTTGCGGCAAGTTTACGTAAACGAGTTGCATATTGATCCACAGTTTCTCCCTGCAGCTGCTTAGCTTGACGAAACTGAAACATTTAATAATCCACGTTTTTCTTCGGAAGAAAACATGCATCCAACTTTTCGACGGCAGTTTGATAATCATCAGCAGCACCATTATCTGGTATTGTGTTGAAAATTTCTTGAGTTTGTTGCCCAACTTGATACAAAAGAAGAGGGAGGGGATGAATACAAACGTTTGCCGTCATTGATATGGCCATCTGCTACTGCTTATTAACTGATAATTTAGGAGAAGAGTTTTTTTAAAAATTTTCTAGTTTTCATTACGTGATATGTGAGTCATGGGCGGTGCCAGCCCCAAAATAGTGGGGTGGACAATGAAGGGGTGGAGCTGATAAGGGGGATGCTGATAAATCGCGCTCGTTATTGACTACCAAGTTTGACATATATTGGAACCCTTAGTAGAAGAGTTAAATTTCATAGGCAAAGGTTTTCCCACATAAAAGCTGATAGCATAAAGGATAATTTCAGAGTTGCATGTTTCAGCTAGCAATGGTTTTAAAATTATTAAAGAGGCTTCATTTGTCTATTTCATCTGCAATATCTCGATGGATGCCAATATGAACAAAGTTTTCCAACCTTTCGTTGGAAAAGGTGATGCAGCTGTAACAGGTGGGTTTCAGTTTCAAAGTTAATTATTGCCAAAAACCTTTAAAAAGGAAAGAAGGCAAAAACCGCACTCTAAGAACTTTAAGAACCAACTGTTTAGCACGATAAAGCTGTGTTTTATAGATTATTTTTATTTTAGTTTCTCTTTATTTACAGAACTGATAATCCAAAACACCATACTCTTTGTCAGCTAAGATCTGAAAAGAACCGTAACTGACCATCAAAATGAAAAAACGTTCCAATCTCAGAGAAGAAAACTAACATTCCCTCCTTATGTTTTTAATCCAGTTGAGGAAAAATTAGAAAGTTGATCTTAAAAAAGGTAGGGATCAAATACGGCAGGTGTTACCTTCGACAGATGTTTTGAAGTTTGTGTTTACCACTCTGAACTTCGTGACCGTGCTCAAAATTTGAGCTCTCCATTTCTTGTTTTCTTCTTGTTGTGAAGTCAATATATTTCGCAGCCCAAACCATCATGGGGGATTCCTACTCGTCCCAGTCTTCTTACGTTATATATATTCAGGCCCTATATTGTAAGGTGAAGTTGTTTGAAGTAGTGAAGTTACGATAAAGTCACGCTACAAATTTATGATGGGCTAGCAAGTTACGTTTACGTTATAGTTGTATATAGTCACGTTTTGTATATATTTAAAGATAAAATCAACGATATGGAGTTTCATTCACGTCTACGCTCTACCGAAGCTATGTTCAAAATACTTCTGGGTCTTCCCACTTTATTTTAAAAATTTATATTCCTTCTAAAGATTTTCGCCTGTTCGTGTCGCAGTTAGGAATACAACAATTCTTACCCGGCATTATATCTTATCGCCTTTATTTTCGAAATTCCTAGATCTTGTTTTGATAACACCAACGCTACAAACACAGAACTTTTGCACCCAAAAAGTCACATGTCACGCGTACGCGCCAGGGCTTAAGCTTCTGTACTCGCCGCTTTCCAGTACCATTACTATCATATGCAAAAATACCTACCTTAAAAACTTGCAAGCATTTCAAAGAAACTTTCAAGCATTTCAAAGTCATTTCAGTGTAGTGTAAAATAATAGGGCTAAGAGGAGAGCCTTGCGGTATGTCATAAGTCCTGGTTCTTGATTGATAACCGTTGGCAGCACGGTTCTGCCTTCTTTTTCGAGGTATGAGTTGCCAGGATGTTCTCGAATGCCGAGATTCCTCAAATTTTCTAACAGGATTTTATGGTCAACGATATCGAAATCCTTTTAAGATCGAGGAAATTTCTCAAGTCTAACTTTACTTACTGACTCATGGCCAGGATCCTTTTTGCCTTTTTGTACTCGTAAACTGGGTTATGGAGTTTTTTCTAGGATCCGTGAGAAAACAGAGATCGCCAAGATAAAACAAAAGTAATTAGCCGCAGTTTTAGGGCCTGTTTTGAAGTGGTCACCTTTTGCCGTCTTCCAAATATATCGCTCTCTTCTTTCAGACATGCTCTCTACCTAGATATCGCTCTCTCGTCTCATTCCAGTCTACGTTGCAATTCAAAGCACTGCCTACCCTTAGATCAAGATTATGAGCGGCTATTACTAGGTAGCCACTTCTTCTTATCATTTTTGTTAGAAAAACCTTTAGGCCATTTTGAAGATTTGCAGTTTGCAGACCTTATTTGCAGTTTTAGAACGCACGAACCGAATATCAAAACGGTAGGAAAGTACACGTGTTGAAAATAAAAAGGACACACGTTACTGCTTCAAAAGTCAAACAATTATCCAGTTGACTATAACAATCACCAGCATGTCATGAATGTAGATTTCGCTTACAGGCAATGTCGGCACCAGCCACAAAGTTCTGGGGAGACAAGCAAAAAATTATAGGCCACGCCCTTTTAACCGCCAGAAAACTCCCTTTCACCAACAGGGAACGCCAAATTTAACCAAAGGGAACCCCTATGACTAATTTTTGGTTAAGTGAAGGCAGTTTGAAAATCCTAGGATCATATTACATAAAATACGCTGTCAAAATATTACCCCTCCCCCAACATTTTCTCATCGAATTTAGACGAAGTACGAAATCGATCCTGCCGAGAACTAGGAGGGAACGTGTCCCCCCCAGTCCCCCCGTGGCGCCGCTACTGCCAGGCATAAGTGCTTTATATCCTTAAAAATCTTTTCTTTTAGGCTGCTTTTCAAATGCTACCTCTTTTCGAAGCAGAGGCTATAAAATCCATGCAAACAAATGAAAATATCAGAAAATGTGCTAAAACCGAACTTTTCAAGGCATATAGCAACTGGCAATGGTAATTGGGTGCATGTGTAGGGTCCAGACCCTTTAGAGGGAGTAACCTTTTAACCCTTTTTGTTGAAGACTGCAAATTTGCTTTTGCAGACCACTGACCCAAATCTACAGTTTTGATAAAGAATTTATGAATTTAAGTTGTTGTCGTCTCTCTAAAATCTATCGATTTGGGTTACTTTTCACGAAAGTTCTCAGAACGGTAGAAACAAATCTGAGTACCGTAAATTCTCTTTTAAGCCCCCTTCTCAATTAAGCCTCTCTCTCTTATTAGCCCCCCCATTTCAGAAGGAAAAATTTGATTAGCCCCCTTCTCAATTTAGCCCCCCTCCCAATTTTCACTGATGCCGAGATAAGCAAACTTAACAGAAAACAGAGATTTTAATTTTATTCATTGGTCGTTCAATACTTTGCATCAAATTAAAATTCACACCATTGTCACGAACGATCCAAAGACAAAGATCTGATGTGCAAAAAGCACGGGCAATGTGAAAGCCTTTTACCACAATTACAGGTACTCCGAGGGATGAAGTCGACCTTTTCGATTGCTCGATTTCAGAAGGCGACATGGCCCAAGAAGATATGTTACAATTAATAATTGATTACGATGACAATGATATATAATTGATATAGAGCAATGCTGATTTGGTGTTTTTTATTTCGCAAATAACAAAAAATTAGTTTACTACTATAAATAGTCTTTTATTACAAAATATTTATTAAGCCCCCTCTCTCAATTTAGCTCCCCACGCTTATAAGCCCCCCTTTAAAATGCTGAAAAACAGTAAGCCCCGGGGGGGCTAAAAAGATATTTAACGGTATCTGTCTAATTTTTTGGCTCCGGTCACAGAATAGGCACCCTTGGATGCTACACCTCCTTGGATGCGGGTTTTGGCTTTGAGAGGAAGCGTGAAGAAGAACGACTAGTGTCCCGCTATATTGGCCGGCACCTTTTGTGAATTGTGAAAAATCTTGGTCAAATATTTGGCGAGAGGTTAGTTACATAGATTGAACAGACTCACAGAACAATACAAACAAAACTTATTTTCGATCTTCTTCCGAACATGGATCAACATTATTATGCAACCAAGCAAAATAGCCAAACAGTTCTATTGTCATTTTAAACATTGTTCTGTACGCTAAGGCTTAATCACTTACTTTGAGTTTGTTAACATCGCTATTTAAGGCTGGTTGGCACTTGTCGCAATTCGCGAAAGAATCAGGGGGCGTTGGGGACTTGATTTTTTAAATAGGACTCATTTCTATTTGAGGGGGAAGTCGGTGTTTTCAGGGATGGTTTGTAAAACATTTGAGGAAAATACCCTGGGTTCCAGAGCCTCTAAGGTCGCCCGACACTGCAAGGAAAATTCGATTTGAATCAATGCTCAGGAATTCAATGCACACCAATGTAGTTTGAAGCGTTGAAAACAATAACATGCAGTTTTAGCATTATGCCCTGGGTACTAGCGCCGCACCCAGGGCATGTAGCTTGTGCAATTTCAAACGTGCTTTCATATACGCTCTTTTCTTTTTATGAGAACAATTTTATAAAAACACGAGCCTCAAAATTGGTCAAAAGTTAAGAAAATTAAGAACAAGCTGCGGCTGAGCTACTCTAAAATGCAATTTTTAACAACGTATTATCTCAAAAACGAGGATTTCTAGTCATATGTGGGTGCTTTTTCGGGGAATATTCAAACTTGTTAGCAAATGAAGGTTGTCGCGCTCACTTTATTGGCAAATGAGGCCCGAGCGAAACAAGCTAGCAATCGCACTGCTTACACCTTATTTATTAAAGGACAGATTAAAAACAATCCAGCCTCAGATTTTCGGAAAAAAATAAAAACGGTCAGCCTGAACTTAAATTTACTGGTTCCTAAAAAGAAGAGTGTGATTTATTTGAGATGCTGTTGCAGAGATCAAAAAACGTCTCAACCTCTCTCTAATTTTTCTTGTATATTTTGGATCAAAAATTTCTTGGAAGTGGAATTTAAGTAAAATCACCTATGGGTTTCTCTTAACGCTTTGTCAGGAAAAAAGAAAGCTTTAAGCACAACAGTAAATTCATCTCATGCAGTAGCGTAGAAACAGGGACAGAGGGGGCGTGAAACCCCCAGTAAAGCTAAACTGCTATTTTTTCGGAAAATTTTCTGATCTTGTCGGAAATATTACGTGACTGTTCCTTTTTATTAAAAAACTGCATTTGGAGAGGAAATAATTTAAAGCTTTATATAATATGTATTCATAGTATGTATAATTTTGCCATCAAATAAATTACAATTTACAATGGAGAAAAGGAAAATGATCGAATGGCAGGGATAGCATTAAAAAAGTCATTGCGACCTTATTTTCATAATGGTCCCTCCAGAGTTGTTATCAACAAGAAGAGTGTCCAGAACAATGGACTTGGTATCGAAAACTGAGGAAAAAAATTTATTCTGCAAAATTTAATGACTTCTTTCGTTCTTCTGAATCACAGAAGCAATCCCTTCCAAAAATGTGATGCTTCGAGATGTCTTTTTTGAGGAGAAGACCAGAAAACTTTTCCATTCGTATGATATATGACACTCAACTTTGAATAAATGATAAGATTTTATCTCTTGTTTTATTTAGTTCTGATGTCGTTATTTTATGTTCAAATATAAGAAAATATAAAAATGCTTATTAGATTTTTGCCGGACAGTTTTCCTATCTAGACCATTGATCATACGTAATGTACTCTTGTCAAGTCATGCACTGGCCTTCCTCAAAACTACAGCATACTTTGATAACCTTCCTCCGGCTCACAACAGTGGAACCGTAACTTTTCTGAACTTTGTGCTGTTGTTTTTTCTAAAAGCACTTTGAAGGCCTTTTATTTTTTCTCTTTAGATAATTAAACGCCGTTTTATTCCACAAAATTCGCCATGCCAGCACATTCTTTTTTACAAGAACCAGTAAATTTAGGTTCAGACTCGCTGTTCTTAATTTTCCAGATCGATCAGGCTGCGTTACTCTCTGTTTTTCCCTACATTTTTCGGATGTAAGTTAAACGAGAGATAAAACTTTCCTTCAGAACAACATGTGATATTTATTTACACATTAGAAAAAGATGTTCCCTGCCATTAAAGATATTTCATTGATATAAATATTCATACAGATAAGAATCCTTAAGGATTTTATGCTGCAAGGTTCTATTACCAATGTTTTCAATAACATTTTTTTGATAGGCAATGCCAATTCACTCCTTTTTTGTAGGAACCGAACCAGGATATTAAGTTTGAGGCTTACTGCTCTATTTTTTTTCAAAAATTTGAGGCTGGATTGTTCTCGATTTGTTCTTAAATTATTTTGGTGTAAGCAGTGCAATTATTAGCTAGTGTGCTCTAGAGGGTTGTTCAGGCCTCATTTGCCGACAAAGTGAGTGAGACAACCTTTATTTGCCGACAAGTTCGAATATTCACTGAAAAAGCACTCCTAGATGGCAAAAGCACCTCGTTTTTGTGATGAAATTTTCTGAAGAGGTTTCGCAACATGGCTCAAAACCACATTTTACAGTAGCTCATCCCCTGCTTGTTCTTAATTTGCTCACGACTTTGACCAATTTTGTGGTTCGTATTCTTATAAAAGTTTTCTTATGAAAAATAAGTGTAGCTAATTGAAAAACGGATTGCAACAACCGTTACTCAAACTGTGTAAAAAGTATCTCCGCTTTAGCTTTTTTTAAAAATGGTTCCTATTTTTGATCAAATATTATTCATGTTTAAGAGTGTGATGCCATGTATAGAAAACAAATCCGTAAATTACACTCATTTTTTTATAAGAAACAAAGGTCGACGTTGAGTACTCCAGTTTCTTAATAATGTTCTGGAAATTTCAATACTCATTGTTTCTTAAGAGTTTCTTAATTATGATGTCATGAATGATGTTATGAAATGTTTGTGAGTTTTTATCACGTCAAGAGATTCGCTTCCGTTCTAATGCTGTATTTACATGTGGAAAGCATATTTTATCCCTTGTGTCTTAAGTTCTAGGCCAACAGGGCAATCATGTTCTTGGATTTTAGAAAAATTTGTTGTTCTAAGTTTTATCACGATTTATTAGTTTCTCAATTTTTTTATTCGAGTACTGGAGTTTCTTAATTTTTTCTGACTGTCAAGTACTCGTTTCTTATGGCTAGTTTCTTATAAGAAAATGAGTGTACAAGAATATAAGATGTTATCACAGAAAATCGATACACTGAAGGATAAACTAATAGAACAACACCAACTTCGTAGAACAGAACCCCCTTTACTTTTCATCATCCCACGGCCTCCCCCAGTCGCAACAGCAACCTGGCCGCCCCAGGCTTTGTCCGTGAACAAAGAAGTATGTTTTCCACAGAGACATGTGAAGCTTACTTCAACCCGCGTTATTTGAGCTGGACAATCAAAGGGAAAGAGAGCCATGCATTGCACAGGATGCTTGGATCAACCATTAGGATCAACACGCGGTTTGTTGTCATTTGAAACCTGCTTGACAATCAGAACAAGATGGCTCACCGGACGAAAGGCTCGCTGGGGATGCAAGCTACTCAAGTGCAATTTGCACTCGTCCTGTCCATGTTAACCATATTTGTGGTTGATTCATGTAAGTGAAACTTTTTGTATTCTTTTTTGCTTGATTTTGTTGTTTGGTTAACTCTTATTAGCAAACAAAAATGGGACAAGTCATCGTATGCAAATATACTATCGCGAATGCTTTAAAACATAACCTGATCACTGAGTAAAAGATGTGAATCAACCTTAGCAATGAAACATCGATATAAAACAGAATGTAATTCGACTGTAACATTTGACACCTTGTAAGAGACTAGACGAGAAAGCTATTTGCATGAACATTTATCGCTTACACTCTCTTTTTTATAAGAACCAGTAAATTTAAGTTCAGGCTGACTGTTCTTAATTTTTTCGAAAATCTGAGGCTGGATTGTTCTTTATTTGTTCTTAATCTAATAGGGTGTAAGCAGTGCGAGTGCTAGCTTTTTCGCTCTAGGGTGGTGTTCAGGCCTTATTTGCCAACAAAGTGAGTGAGACAGCCTTACTTTGCTGACAAATTTGAATATTCACCGAAAAAGCACCCACACAATGCTAAAAATCTTCGATTTTGAGAAAAAACGTTGTTTGAAATTGCATTTTTCTGAAGCTCAGCCTCAGCTTGTTCTTAATTTGTTCTTAACTATTGGCCAATTTTGAGGCTCGTGAATACATTAGTAACTGAATACATTAGAAAAGTCAATCTCGTACATTTTTGTCGGGGTGGCAAACACCCCCATCCCCTCGACCACCACGCCTATCTGTTTTCCGGGCCCTGTTTAGAAAAATGTAGCCTGCGTCGCAGACCATATTCTGAAAGAGAAACTAAAACCATTCTCCTTCAGACTGTTTTCAATTTTGCTCCACCATTGGGCTCCACTGTTTCCTATCTCTTACCTTTCTGTTGAATTGAAATAAAAGCCAAACAATGATTTCAACTCAACGGAAAGGTAGGATTTATCGAAAAGTTGAAAACAGTTGCCAAGTTGAAAACAGTAGACTGCATTCAACCTAAAAAAGGCGGCTTCAAGGAGCATTAACTAATGGTGGAAAGGGCATATAAATCATTTAACACCGTGCTATTGTAATATAGAGTTTCCTACTAAAGTTTTATGTTTTGAGGAAACTGGACACTTCTATACAGGGGCGCTTCTAACCATTGGCAATTTGTCGAAAATTTCGTATCTGTTCGACAAAACATAGTCATAAGAGATAATGGACAAAGGAATATTTGCAATTCATGTAAAAGCAAGAAAGATCAAAGGAACTAATCAGTATAGGAGAGAAGATATAAACAAAAAAAGTTAACTCAAGACTTTAAAACTACAAATTTTCTTTGTTTGGCCTTTTTTCAACTATTTGATTCCAGGAAAAAGGGTATAAATTTTCTTTGGTTCGAAAGAAATAGGGAATCAAATAGGAATCGAATATCAGAGATAAGGGTCATTTTTTGGACCCTCAGACACGGGTGTTTACACTTGAAAGAGTGAGATGCAGGGGCGCAGTGGCTGGGGGGCTGGGGGCAGGGGCAGGGGGCAGCCGCCACCCCCCCCCCTGGCAAAATTTTGTCGGATAGTCGGAAAATCCAACGTTTTGCGGAATATTTGAAATATTAGACAAAATGTAAGGTTTTCATCGATCCTGTCCAAAACGTCTGTGGTAAAATAGGGCATGCTCAACCCTTCTTACTTATTTTCATTAGAGTATTTATCGAAATCATCGCATTGCTGAAATTTGTAAAGGAAATTAACACTCTGGTCTCAGTTATTTTGTAAACTCCCATTTCTGACATTTAAAATTCAACTTAGTTCATTTCGAAATGAATTCGCTGGTGTTGTAGAAGACGCAAAAAGTTATTGTTTTCGCCATGACTTAAATGATGAAAATTTTGTCGAGCGACGAATACGCAGAAAGAAAAAGATGCCAGGGGAAAATTGCATGGATGAATTAGAAGGAAATAGGGAATCCGTATATCATCGTGATAGTAGATACAGCTATCAGCTCAATGAATACAAGATTCACGTCTCATAAGGCAATTTTGACAGATTTTGCCTTGCTCAACCCTGAATGTTTTCAAAAAACAATTGAAAGGCAGTTGTGACAACTGCACACAACGGTTGTGTGCAGTGTCATTCAAAAAGGTTGCGAAGAAATACGGCCTGGATGACGAAAAATTAAGAGATGAGTACAGCTCTTTCGTCAATAATTACCGTAAATTTAGGAAAGTTAGAGAAAAGAGCAACCCTCTGCCGGCTGCAGGAGAAAGAGAAAACTTCCATTTAGTTCTTCAGTTGATGATAAGTACAACCTGCAAAGTGCCTTTCCACAGGTGGTCCTTCTTTACAAGGTTCTCGTCACTTTGCCAATAGGTTCAACAAACTATGAAAGAGCTTTTTCAAAGCTGAGGATTGTAAAAAAATCGGCTACGGTCAACGATGGGACAAGACAGCCTTTCATCTCTGATGATAATCAACGTCGAAAGTGATATTTTACAATCGATAGACTATGGTGACATCATCGATTTGTATGCTGCCACACCTCTTTTGAGAAAGATGCTGCTTGAGTAACAGTTTATATAAATATCATTTAAAAGAAAACTATTCTTTTGGACGCGTTATATCCATTTAAGGTTTAGCATAAATAAATGCAAAGTAACTATGATGCGATTTAAAACTTGCCAAAAAAACTTTTTGCTATAAACAGCTATTCATAACTAGTTGCAGTTTTGTTCATAGCGATTTATATTTGGTAAGTTTTGTTAGAATAAAGGGGGGGGGGGTGAAAGGCTTGGCAGATCGGCGTATTTCTTTAATTTCAAGGAGCGGATTTTGTATTTATCAGTTTGGCAGAACGGATTTTCGTATTTTGTTTTCTTGGCGGATCACGTATTTTTCCGATAATCTACGACGTATTTCGGACTTCACAGTTAGACTTACTTCATGAGCCTCTGTTTCGCTACTGCCTCACTTAACTGACGCTTCAACAGAGACTCATAATCCAAAATACTCAAAAACTGGCAACATAAATTTTGTCTCGCTCTCGATTTTTTTTCAAAAATTTTCAAATCCACCCCCCTGATTTGCACATTTTGCACAGCATTTTCATTTACATATAAAGATGTTAGTTTGTTCGTTTGTCCATAAGAAAGGACAGTCATACTCAAACATGACACTGTCAGAAGCATCCAACAAAGTGCAAGCAAGTTCTTTGAAAGAGCAGTTCGTTCTACAGGAAGTTTACCTAGTATCCTTAATGGACCACATGGGATGGTTTCTGCGGCTACAATCAAGTCAGTAGATATTCTAGCTTGGGGTTTGCAGAGGTTGGATCCTATAATGTCATCTCTTGGAATTGTAGGCACGAACCTTCTCAGCTGCATGACGTTAGATGTGGAACATCTACATTCAACAAGCCATATTAAACACTCATAATTTACTATCAAAACAAGAATACTGTAGGGATTTTGGCAATACCGTCAAAGAAAGTATCAAGCGCTTGTCATCATCATCCTTTTACTATCACACAAGTGAAAAAGCCTCATGGTATCCAAAGCCAGAGCATGGTATTCATTCATCAGCCCTACCTTTGGTTTCCCCACTACCTCAGATAAACATGGATGAAAAGTCGGTCGGTGAAATGCGAAGTTACGCTTGCACGTATGGCGCTGCGGTGCGTCAGAGGACAACTCGTCAAGAAACGACCACGGCAAAACATGGCACCATGCCAGAAATGATCTATCAAAGAAAGCTAATCATCACAGAGGAAGCTAACTTTGCAAGTCATAAAGATACAGTGGTTGATGCAGAGGAAATTGACAGCATTGGAAACGAAGTTGAAGAAATTGAACTCGAATATGATTCAAGTACTTACGACGAAGATGATGATGCAACAAATTCTGAGCTCGACACAAGGTCAACGTTTCTGGTCGGAGTTTCCACCAGTGGCGGCGCCAAGGGGTGGTATGGGGGGTAATTACCTCCCCACTTTTCTGAAAATATGGTCTATATATTTCTTCTAAAAATGGATTAAAAAGCGCTGGGTAGGGGTAGATCAAATTTCCCAAGAAAAGAGACGAGACACTGGAACGAGGCAAAAGGGGTGTGGTCACACTGGCCACGCCCATTACCCTTCCACTCTGTAATAGCTGGCGCCGCCTGGTTTCCACTCGATATGGAAAAGCTGTGAGGATCAATAACAAAAACATTTCATGATATAGTGACTATTGGTATAAATAACACATTAACTTGACGGATTTCGTATTTCGCCGGAAAAATTAGCGGATTTTCGTATTTGTTCACTAAAAGTAGGCGTATTTTCGTATTTCAATACCCCCTTTCACCCCCCACATAAAGGCTATCGTTGAACTTGAAGGTGTATAACGAACGATCCATTCGTTAACGATTTCCAGATCCATTCGTGATATTTTAGTATCAAGTGTTGCAGTATATGCAGCAAGGGTAATCTTCAAGGAATGTATTGAGAAAAAATTTGTCGGAAAAATCATAGTTTTATCGGAAAATTTTCAGCTTTGCCCCCCCAAAAAGTTAACTCCCACTGCGCCCCTGGTGAGATGATTGGCTTGCCAATAGGTATTACTAAATACGAGTGCATCTTTTTAAACCTCAAGTGTGTAAAAAACAGACTGCAATCAGCAATGGGCCAAGAGAGGTTATAAAAATGTTAAACCTGACTTATTTGACACACATTTCTGATGAAATGATGAATCGGCAAGTTTGCTGACACAACATTGCGGAGGAGACTTCTCATGCACTGAAAATCGTCCAGTTTTCTTTTTTAGATTCTTAAGGTATTAATTATAATTCCTATTGCGAGTTTTACTGTTCATCACAGATCCAGATTTCTGATGATTATGATTATCCAATGTTCGAATGGAATACGGATGCTGACTTTTCTCTGACTGACGTATTGAAATCAGTAAAAGTGATGCTGCAAAAGATACATATTGTTTGACATGTCTTTTTGCATCAAAAAAATGCGCATGCGCTTGATGACGTCATAATTTTAATTTGAACCCGTTGTCGGAAAATTTGCAAACTGTGCCCTCCCCTCCCCCATTTTGCCTTTCCTTTGCTTGCCAGCTAGGCCTACATCTATTTTCACAGCTAGGGGGAAGCCGAAAGTTGTATTTAAGCTGAAATTGATCTTGTTTAACCCCTTGGGTCGAGACAAGAACCGAGATATAGGAGGGGTGGGCTGCCTTGGCCCCCAAGAACATATGCAGGGGCGGCAGCGCCGAGGGCCTGGGCGTGGCTATAGCATCCACACTTCATAATAATAGCAACAATAATAATAATAAGAGAAATATTTATACAGGGTAAACCTTGTTAGTACTACGTGTACTGTTATCAATAAGGGCCCTGTCAAGTTTTGCCTTAAAACTTCAAGAATTTAGAAATGAACCGCCAGCCAAGCCTCTAGTCCACTGTTTTCTGTATGCTCCGCGGTGCCTGTCTCAGTAAAAGCTGAAGATTTTACCCATAAACTGAAACAAGTAGGTATATCTGAAGAGGATGCATATAATGCCTCCCAGTGTTTTGTATCATCGCTGCATAGTTCGAGTTTCTAAGAAGGTGCAGTTTCTAGCATCACTGATAATGTTTTCAAGGTCAAGCTCCAACGCCCTGTTTTCAAAGAATACAAATAAGCCATTGCGAATTTGAGATTACGACATAATGTCGCCTTTTTACTTGGCAGAATGGATTGCAGCACCTTAGCAAAGTGGTTTTTCTGCAGTCAAGTCTTTAGGCCAAGCTCTATTTTTGCTCCCTTTTAAGCCTGTTTTGTTAGATAATTTATAATATTTTCATCTATATCGTTTTATTACACTGATTTTTCTTTTACAGCTTCCTTATGCACTGTGTTTGAGTTTCAATGCTCAACTGGCAAATGTATTCCGACCGACTGGAGATGCGATGGCCGCAAAGACTGCATTGATGGATCTGACGAAAACTTATGCCAGAATGGACGTAAGCCTACCCAATCATTTATCTCAGGAAAACTTTATTTGTTCTCTTCATTTAATGATCATGGAAAATTCAGTGTTATTACCAGTAGCGCCATTTGCCGAAAAAATGATTCAGGCTACACTCTCATTTTCAATGTGACAATCTTCTAAATGTGTTATTTCAAAAGAGTAAATGTTACAAGGATTGAAATTTTGTATGCTTTAGCAGAATTACGAGGGGGAAGGCAAATCCTGGCAAAAGTAAAGGGGGCAAGCAGGCCATGCTCCCAGTTGCACTGTTAAAGATTATGCACACGTGCCTATGAATAGTTAATAGTTTTGGCGAAAAAAGGTTCATAAGACAGTTTTGTGAATTCAAGACAGGGATTTCTAGAATATTACAAATATCATGGAAGAAATATCTTCATAATAAGAGTAAGAATAAAAACAAGATGTATGATGTGACGGGTGTTAAGCTCATTACATGTTCTTAAATTTAGGCACTTTTCGATCTCTTAGTCGTTTAACCCGTCGTCCTATTTTTCAACTGGGGCGTACTTTGTTGCTCAAGGAGCAATCGCCCATGGATATCTCGTACACCTTTTGAGAAAATCTTATGTTTCATTTGAGAATCCTTATAACTCCTTTTGTTTTGATGGCAATCTTGTACGCTATTTGCAAGAGTGAATTGCTCGTCGCTTTTGCGTACCTATATTGTTTCCAAGTTTCATTTCTCATCTGTTAAATTTCAGTTCCTGCAAAAATCACAACTTTTGAGGTTCAGCAGAAAGATTCACGGTCTGTGATCGTAAAATGGTTCTCAAATCGTCTTGTAAATTCTCCGCCAATTGTATCATTTACACTCACTTACAAAAAGATATCAGATGTTGAATACAACAATATTGTCATCAAGGCATTTAAACGTTCATACGTTGTTAAAGAGCTGCAACCGCTCGGCGTTTATGAATTCAAGATACAGGCTACAAATAGACTTGGAAATGGGCCAGCAAGTGATCCTAAGTTGCTAAAAATCGCAGAAATCGCAGTAGAAATACGAGGTATGTTTTTTTACGTTCTATTTTTGTGCATTAATACGCTATCCTAAGCTTCTGTCGCACGCGAAAAGGTTCTTTATATTCATTTTGGTCATAAGTTGTGAAAGCCATGCTCATAGTCAGTAGGATTTTTATAGATGAAATTAATAATGGGCTTAGAAACATAAGAAAGCTACTTTCATTGAATGTAAAGAGAACATCTTGCGTTTTTCTGACGAAAGTCTTTGAGTGCTCTGATCTTTTTCGATTTTTCCCTCGAAGAGTTCCTCTTGAACTTTGAGTTCTTCTATGATCGTTCGAGTTGTCATTCTATGTGGAGTATAAACACGTGCTTCTAACATGTTGCTATGATAAATTCCTTGACATGGATTTGTGGGTCTTTGAGTCAAGAACGACTTGGAATTTTGGTCATGGAATTATGGTCAATTTTTTGTCTTCATCTCCATCGATTAGTGTCTCGGAAGCTTGTTTCTTCTCTTTAGACTCTCCTGCAAAAAAAATTATGTACATTTTTAAACTTCCTGACTGTTCTGCCCCTAGTTACCAAGGATTTATAACATAGTCTAACATTTATATAGGGGGATAATAGCCAATCATCCTCGGGGGGTACTTTAACGTGTTTGAAGGTAGAGGGACGTGCCATTCTTTAGGGGTACTTTTTTCTGAAAAGTGCGGAATTATCGGTATCAGTTTTTGAATTATGTGCGGAACTATGGGTACCATTTGAAGAAATATGCAGAATTATGTATACCTTTCTTATGAAAGTATTGAAAAATTATTAGGAGGGAGATTTAGCATTAACAAAATGCATTTCCAGTTAGAAATGAAAGTATATAATGTCTGTAATATTGAGATTTTAGGGCAAAGGACATGCAAAAATTGTTTGATGATCTTTTTGTGCTTTAAACATTTTATTTGAACTGCAGAATTATGGGTATAGTTTTCATCATGCTTGTGGAATTATGGGTCACTTTTTTTAGATATTTACGGAATTATGGGTCCCAAATTTTAACCAAAATGGCACGTCCCCGTTCAAAATTAGGCTCAGTTTATCCCCCGAGCGATGGTCGCCCTCCCCCTGCTTGCAACGCCCCTCCCCCAGCCTCATCTATGATTCGTTATATCCTTATAACTTTTTTTCTTGCACTCAGAGCGAGAAATGCAGTTAAAAGGCGTGCCTTTGAATTCCAGTGCAATCAAGCTTTCATTAACTAGAAGAGATCCATCACCCGTTTTCGGATACTTCATTAGATACAAACCGATAAAGGATCAAGGCTCACTGGAATACACACAATCTTTTGTGGGCGATAAAACGGTAGTCATTCTTTTATTTCTAGTTGATTTTTATTCCTTATTGCTTTAACTGTGTGATTATATTTCCTCGATATCTTCAAAATGTCGGCTATTTTTATTTCTTGAATCAAGTATTAGAACCATTGATATTAGTATTGCAAAAACAAGAACTATTTGATAGTCTTAAGGCAATCGACTGATACAAAAGTGGTTTAAGCCACTTGGCAATCAACATTAGCCAATCAATAGGCGTGTGAGTGAAGTGACACTCACTGATTGGTCAGTTCTTGATTGAAATATAGCTTAAGCCCCATAGTATATGTCGCTTGCCTTTAACGCTTTCCAGGATATATGCAATGGCGGAATAGCTGCATTTACGCCTGGTAGCAGGAGAACTTGCGATATTGCATAAATGCCTTCTTATGCATAATTCTTGTGAAAAGTCTCTCTAACAGTCATACAGTTCTTGATAGCTAAAGGCCCTGGCGCAACCGGCATGCTTAGCGGTGGTTGTCTTGAGAAAATTGACCGTGTTTTGTATTAGCATGCAATACGATTTAGGCCGGTTCTTCAAATTATAGTCGCAAAGCATGCCGGTCACGCAACAGCCGTTAAGGGATATGACCACCCCCACCTTCATTGACATTTCATTTTTTGTAACTATACTGTTTTGTAATCATTTATTTATATATCCTGACAATTTTTTATTGTGTAAATCTGACTACCGTCAGGTTATTTATTATTTTATGTCAATTATCATATTATTTTCTGATTATTACTTAATACATTTCTGATTTTTCTCATTCGCTTTTGATCATAATCTTATCATTTCACTTAATATTTTCCTACTTCTTTGTAACAGATTATTTTCTGAATATTTATATTGGTTTCTAACTATTTCTAATTATTTTGGCATGCCTTCTGATAATAGCTTTTCGCATGCCTTCTGATAATGCTCTGGATATAATGTGATTTTTCTGATAATTTTCTGATTATTTTGTGATCTATCTATTGTCTTTTAAAATGCTCTAACCATTGTGTGATAGGCTTCAATTATTTCTTCGACCTTAATATGATTATTTTCTTCCTGATTATTTTCTTCCATTTGTCATTATACATGGTACTGCTAGTTATTCTCTAATAATATTTTTATCAATTTTAAGATATTTTCCTTACTTTGTTCTAACTCTCATTATATTTTTTTAATACAATAACTTCCGAATATGTTTTGACTTTACAAAGTTTCAATGAATATTCATTGGATTTTTTCACAGCAATGAGCCTAAATATCCTAAAAATGAGATATCCCAACTATAGCAAAAACTATTTATTTAAAAACCATGGTAAATTGTAAATGGTGTGATACCAGAGTTGCAATTCGACAGTCGTTTATTTCAGGAAAATTTTAAGTTGTGACTTAAAGGTTCCTTTCTATGACAGCTGCATCATCTCTTTCAAATATATTATGATTCTAAGAGAGCTGTTTCTAGCATTACAAGCTGCAGTGACAGTATCAGCCCTACCCCAAGCACCTTAGAAGTTAAGGGGTTGTCTTAATGTTTTTTAGCCTAGAAATACGTAATTTCTTTATTAAACTCCCTCTGCAATATATATTTTCATTTTGTCAAGAACAGTGGAAAAAATGCCTCGACTTTTCTTTTGCTCTGATAGGTACAATACAAGGGCAGTGGTACCTATTTAAGAATTTGTTCCAATTATTTGTTTTATTTCCTTATTTACATACACTTTTACCAGTATCTGCCCGTTTTTCTGTGTCTGTTTTTTACCGTTATTCTCATTTATTACCCTTTTTTGACAGGAGTTTCTATTGACGAACGGAGTAAAAGAGAGCACCACGTACCGAATAATCATCCAATCTTTCAGTATACATGGCTATGGTAGAAAGATAGGCCCAATAATGGTGACTACTGCAAAAGCTGCTGTGAAGCCTCCGCAGTTCACTGTGAGTACTGCAGATAACTCCCTTTATCATGAAGCCTTTTTGAAAATAAGCGATACAGGTAAAGCGAAAGCCTATGCCCTTCGTGTTGGGAGAAGTTTGGTGAAATCCTTTCCTTTTAGCAGTGAAAAGGTGGTGTTGCTCCCTGCAGATTTCAGTGAAGGTGCAGTTCGTATCAAGCCCCTGTTATGGTATTATTTTGGGATGTCCCTACAAAGCAACGACGGCAGGTGGTCACAGGAGAGCTTCAAATGGGTTCGAGGACCTCCAACAGGTTATACTGCATTCTCAGATTCACCAAATAGTGTGACACTACTTTGGTCTCGGATTGACTCCAGTAATGACACTGAAAACTACATAGTTTCATTCAAAGATGAAAATGACCTGAAACCATCAGAGATAGAGGTAAAAAGGCAGAGGGATCGGGATTTCACTATTATCACCATCAATTCACTACGTGAGGCCACTACATATGACTTTCGAATTCGAAACGCTGGTGAAAATTGCGATCCCACGAAACAAATCCGTCTTTCGGTGAAGACGCGACCTGCGAAGGAGGACTCTTAAGTAGTATGTATGTAGCAATGGCGGTTGATTCTTTTCATTCTTTAGAACACTACAGTTTTAAATTTTTTAAGGACTGCCAAAAAGTTGTTAAAAAACGATTTTATCTTGAAGTAATTCAGAAATTACAGCAATACACCACTGTGCTTTTATTTGCAATCAATTTCAGCTTACTGTAGTTATAGCTTCCTACAGATCCCTCATTTATACACGAGACATTGTGCTATATTTGTCAGCATTTCTATGTGTTAGGGTCTGCTCCCAAAACACAATATTTTTTCATATGGAGCAAAAAGAGAAGATAAGAATAAATTTCAGCGTTCTTTCCTTCTTTTTCCAAGCATAGTGTTCAGTTGATCTCATTCCTTTCCTCTAATAATCTCTATACTTTCCTGCAAGAAGAAATGCGGAAAAATATCTTAATTGGCTGAAGCACTATCGTTTTACTTCTTGAAATTGCTTTGGACCTTCGAAGTTATCATTAAGAACGTGGGCTGGGGAGAGGGGGGTATGATCGGCCTCTCCTTGGATAACACGAGACAGGGTCTAAAATAAGAAATTTTTTCAGATCCACATTTCTTCAAAAAAAATTGTGCGTGGTACTGCTATTGGCAAATATAGAAACTGCCAATATAGTACAAATAAGGATGTTTTAATTGGCTAAATTTTAAATGAATGAAGTATAAGAAGCTAATTCTTTTCAGTATATGGATTGGATTGATAAGAAAATTAGCAACATATAGAGATGTCTTAGCTTGTGAGCAAAAAGTTATCAAAAGAAAACCCTTTGACATGGTTTGTTTGGATCTCCGTCAAAGCTATTTTTCTTTCCTTTCTCCTTCGAAAACCAACTCAAATCAGTCTTGCTTCCCAGACTTTAGTGTTTTTGGTTTTTTGGAGCCATATCTTTGTTGCTGTTCACGGAACTCGAAACTTGCGATATTCATATATTTGTTAAGTGTTTCTGGAGCGATATGCGATATGCTGTTTTGCCAACCTGTTACTATCTTTTTGTAGATTGGAATCAGCCTCTCTACATCGGCAGAATTTGGGTTTGCTGCGAGAATGCGTCTTACCTGGTATAATTCCTCTTAGAACAAGTCTCAGATCTCTGTGATCTTAGTAATTTCTTTCTCAAATTTCAATTGCCATCTGCCAACTTGCTTAATTTTGGTCCGGGGCAAAATCTGAATGAGGCCTTCAAAAGTCATTTTAATTGCATTCAGCCCATCAAATTCTTTGTCATCAAATCTTTTTTTCAAAAAATTTGATACTATAAACGAGAATCTCGTTACAGATGGCAAATAATCTCTGCTTTCACATATGTACAAATTGTGCTTGTCTCTTCTTATTCTCTTTTCGCATAGTCTGAAGGCATGATCGACCCCCCCCCCTCCCACCCCCTCCCCTCCATCTTGTTGGCAACGCAAACACCACGCACCAGCCTAAAGGGGAATGGCTGGAACGGAGCTAGGGGGCTTGCCTTAGATTTTTACGGCCACACCATTTGAAACACCGGAAAACATTTGCTTCTTTGTGTCCTTATTCTTAAACATAACGATTCAGAGAAGATTTAAATTACTATAAAAACACAAAACCAAGTTAGATAAAATACAAATTTATTTTTGACCAAGCAAGTTAAAGCACCATGAAAAAGACAAAAACGGATTTCCAGTCAAGAAGAACTGCTACTAATGGGTTCGTTAGCGTAAATTTTAAAGACATTTTCTAACCTATGATTGCAAAAAAGTTAGAAAAGACTATAGCCCCTGTTATGAAACATTCCCAATTAAATGTTCCTCCCAGATACCACCGAGAGGTTCAACTGCTTTAGCTTTAAGAGGAATCTTTCCAATGCTTCTCAAATTTAAAACACTTTAGTTGAATTGTTTTGCAACTTTTTCTGAAATCTACTTGAATCTACAGAAACCCCAAAATACATTACGGGCAGGAAATCATAATCTCGGTCTCGGTCTTTAGGCTCAGTGTTTTCTTAAGTAAGTCATAAAAGCAAGCTAAGTTGAGATGATGTCTTGAAGTTGAAGATGTATACCGAGTCCATCTTTCTTCAAAACAGCACGACAATATCATAAAGCGCAATTGAGTTTTCTCCGCATGTACTGAAGCTTCGAGTTCTGAAGTTTCTTAATTCTTTTTTATTGCCCATTACTTATTTCTTATAGCAATTTACATATAAAAAATGAATGCAATACATGAGGCTGGGATTGGGCTTTCACTTTGCATTGATGTTTCTAATTCTATCTTAGGCGTTTCGATTGGTATTTTATGCTGCACTTCTACGAAAATGCACTATTTAAGAAACCACACTTTCTACAATTACAGTTCCACAATTTCAATTTACAACTCAACAAAGTGAGTCAGATCCACGCCTATTTTAGGCCCTGGCACGAGATAAATTCAACAGGCAAAAGCAACTTTGTCAAAGGAAGCTAAGAGAGATCTGGTTTATTGAAAGTTTACTTCTGGCCGGAGACCATTTCAACTGAAGGTCTCCCGGCCCAATTTCTGAGCCTATGCTGTTGATGATACAGACTCCATTTTTTTTATCGTCGAGGTAGTAGTGTGAATGAATAGAAATTATGATTGCAAGAAATATGCTCACACTTGTTTTTTGCTTCTAGCAAAATGAAGAATATGCTCAAACGGATATGCTCACTATTTTAATAGAAGGTCCATCATTTAAAAGTCCATCTCTACATACAGTGACAGCATACAAAAATATTGCTAATAATGTTTTCTATAATCATGTTTTTCAGATTGGTGTATGTTTTTTTTGTTTTACAGAATCCTATCTGGGATAGGGAATTAAAACAGATCTGGCCCCACCATGAAATTGTTACAGGGTCCATGCCACGGATTTTAAACTGGAGAGGCCGACAATGCAAAGAAACCCCCCCTGCCCCCCCACTCCCCCCCCCCCCCACCTAGCTCTAATTGTGGCAATTTGGCCGTGCGTGTTTTACTTTTTGACTTTGGTTCAATTTATTCGTAGTAATCTAAAGGTTTATCTATAGGCAATTATTTAAACTGATTTTAATCTTTTACTTAGAGAGAAAGTCGAGAAGCCCATTTTATGCATCCCCTCTTATGGCTTGCCCCGTCAGAATACAAAACTGTTAACTCGTCCGGTACCATCTACGTTACTTTTTCGGCTCTTTTTCAGCTTGTTCTAACACTTCAATCTTTGTTTTTGTGTTGTTGGTGTCTAGATTTGATAGCCATAATATAGTGCTGTGTATGAAATGGGGCACTGTGGTGGCATAAAAATTACCAAAGAAGAAAAAAAGCCCAAAACCTCATTAGATATGCAAATATATTCTTTCAAATTATCAAATATTACAGCTCTTGGCACTAAATTCCTAAAAAAATAAATAGCTGAAACATCTGCCAAATTCCTAAACTTTATAGCCCGCAAAAACATCACTGAAGGTCTTCCTAACCTTCAGGATCACAATGTTTTAAACATGTTAAGTGCGAACGCAGTACAAGCAAGGGCAAGCAAAAGGTATAGAGTACCGAATTTTGACCATATAATGTGAAAGAACGAGACATCTCGCCCAAATGAGTTTTATTAATGTGGCCAGGAAAACCACAGAGTGGACCCCAAGGAATGGTAAAAGATCAAAAGGAAGACCAAAACGAAGATGGAGAGATGACATCGAACAGTAGGCAGGACACAGGTGGACACAGTTGGCTCAAGATCGTCAAGAGTGGAAGCGTTTGTGGAGGCCATCCGCAAGCAATGGCGTGACAGGCTGAGATTGGTTGATTGACTGATTAATTGGTATGATTGATTGATTGATTAAGCCCAAATTTTCAGTTTCTTTCCAAATTTTCCCGGGTTTGCGACCGTATTATTTCTAATAAACCAATCTGAAATTTTGCAAAGTTGCATGAATCTGACTGAAGATTAATATCGTAAATCCTCGGATAAGCCCCCGGGGGCTTATTCTTTATTTCAAAGTTTAGTATTTTCCTAAAAGGTCGAAATAAAAACAACATAATTTGCTCAATGAAACAAATTGAGAAATTGCAAAAAAGTTTTCTTGCAAAGGAAGCTTAACAGTCAATAATGATTTCTGATTTTTGGTCCCCAGTCAAAGGAAGTGATACTGTATGGCTATTGTCCTGTTGGGGCTTATTCAAAGGGGGGATTTTTTGCAAAAATGATTTTTTAGTGGGGGGCTTATTCGAGAGGGGGGCTAATTCAAGTGTGGGGCTTATTTGAGGATTTATGGTAAGGAATAAGTCATTCACAAATATATTTAAAGGCAAAGGACACAAGACTGGCCCTTGTGATACACCAACTGTTTATCTGCTTTTAGGAACTGTAATGCTATCAAGATCAACTTAATACCAAACTACCAAGAAGCTACTGTTAGCTACAAACGATAATGTTGAGGAGGTTTAGTCAATTAAGGAGATGCAAAGAAATCAAACTTTGTGGTGATTTCTTAGAAAAAAGCAACCAGTGATGATTTGAAAGGAGCAAAACATTTGAAGAGTGTATGATTCTGTTTAATTGTATTTAATATGTTTAATTCCTTGATAAAGGGTAACTTCAATCAACTGCCCTCTCGGTTTTGTCACGAAAGGGCAACACACATTGCAAGGGACAATATGAAATTCATTTTGATTGGAAGATGGGGTATTGTTAATAAAAACAATTGGGGCATGCAAAAATGATAAGTTCTTTCAGCCATCGTCAGCCAGACTTGTGAAAAACGTTGGAGAAGCTTCTCTTTTTAAAGGCCTACTGAAATAGAAACTTGACTTTGCATTTTGTTACTGTATTGAATTCATTGTGGTAGATTTATCGTGGGCATTTGAAACCAGAAACCATGCAGCGAAAGTATCCCACTCCACTACGGTGACACACAAGTTAGTAGTCTGAGTTTGTTATCCTTAGCTGTAAAGAGTCAAGATATTGTATTGCAACAAATAAATAAACAATTCCATTTTGCAAACAATCATTTTTTAGATTGCACAAGTAGACGAGAGTTCTGAGATTAATTTTTAGGAACCAAGCAGCCTTGAAATTTGAAAAACAATACTTCAGCAATGGGCATTTTCTCAAATCAAAAACAGAAAATCATAAACAAGGAAGATAATAAATGAATCGAACCTTTCTTGAAAGTTACCGTTACTTTGCTCCAAATAAAAATTCAGTTATTTTAAACGCTTGTGGTTTTTTGTGGCAATATAGCAGTGTAGGTTCACTACGAACAGCTTTGTGGATGTGTCTCCACGCATCAGTATCTTTTTGTTGTAACTGCTGTTTGGTCTTTCTGTGTTATGTGGTGTTATACTTGAAGTTTCCAGTTCCTAATTGATGTAAATCATCCTGCTGCCCGGTTTTATTTGATTTTCGATGTCTTTTCGCGTCATAGGCCCTGTCTCTGCAACCACAAGTTTCAAACTCAGATCAACCAGCCAAGGACAATCAGCTGCCCTAACCTTTTTTCGACAGATTTTAAAAAAAATTACAAATGTAGACCTTCAGAAATCCTGGAACTTAAGGTGAGCACTCAAAGTTATGTTGTTTTGGAGGGGGGGGGGGGGAGAGAAAAGTCTGTTGTTTTGAATAAGAAAGTCTCCATGGGTGAGGGAAAGATTGCGCTTCTTGGAGGTATGTTAAAGAATTAAACTTTTTCAAATTCACTTAAACTATATCACGATGTATAACTAAAATTGTTACCGATTTACCTTAAGCCTTAGTGCCCTGGGCTCGAAAATCATTATGATTTATCTCAGTGTCCTAGACAACATCTGATGTCATTATATTATTCAAAAATGTTGTTGTAATATAAAATTCATGGTTAAAATCATATGTTTGATACTCATATACACAATATTATATTGTAAGTAATTGTTGTTGTTAAATGAAATTGATTGATTAATTGAAGAAGGCCCTGTCTGGCGTAATATTGCGGTCAAATTTTTTCCTATTTTCGGTTCTCCATTTCTAAACGATGTCTCCCATGGTCCTTCATGTACCATAATTATTGCCACAGTAAAATTTCAAGCAGAATTTCGTTTTTTTTACAGTTACAGCTGGATTTAGACGTCTCCTGTTGACATACTAGTCCGTTATAGTCAAAAAAGAAGGATGTTACTTTTTATCAACGAGCCTCTCGTGTTTAATACCACGCCTAAGCAGAGACAATGTCGCCATCACATTCTTCGCATTGTTTCACAATAAGAATGTATGCGGATGATTGTATTGTGTTTCTTATCCTGCACAATGAAAAGCTTTATATATAAATCCGAATTATTCACAGACAATCCATAGGAGCTTCATGCATATTATGAATTACAGACGCCCGCAACAAACCAATCAGAACGATCGCCGGTAACAACACTGCACTCATGTGACTTTCATTGACTGACCACCATTGTAGAGATACATTTGTAGGCTACCATTGAATAGGAAAATGTTAGATTCGCTGTCTATTTAGCGTAAAATGAGCTGGTAGTCAATTATTTCTCTCGATCATTGAGTCGAAAATGAAATGAAGCACCAGCCAGAGCTTTGAGTATCATAAACGACTTATTTTGAACAGAACACACCTGGTTGCCTGACAGTTCAAAAAACAGGAGCTTGCATCTTAGCTGAGCCTAGTTTTGACAACAAATAACACAAGTGAGTATAACCTTCATTTATTTTGTTACTACACCTGGATTACGGTTTTTATTTGCCTTCTTTAATTAGACTCAATCATTTCTAGCGAAATGCAGTGTCCGCGCCACGAATTTGAAAGTGGGGAGGGGGCAAGGCTAGAAAAGTACCAGGCCAAGGCTTCTTACCTCATTTAATGTGGCTTTAAAACTATTTGCTTCGCAAAAAAGTGGGGAACCATGGCTACCCCGCCCCCTTCCTCCTGTGGCGCGGGCACTGCAAAAGGGCTGAAATGTCAAACTTGTGGTTTTCAAATTCACACTAAGACGAAATACCAAAGATAATACTGTCCCATATCGTAATAACAATGAAGATATTTTCTCAGTTCTTTTAACAAGCCACCTTGACCTAATGCTGAGTTTATGAGCTCTAAAGAAAGGAAAAAGTAAGGGTGTGGTGCATTAGATTCTTTTGTTTTCATTGGCGCTCTTCACAACTTTTGACCGTGTGAAGGCCATGTTTTCTTGTCGCTACGTAGGAGCAAAAGGGAGTGCTGAACGCCGTTGTTCACAATGTTTGATCTTTACAATATTTGCCCAGTACACACTTTTTTTTATAAGAATACCTTATTTTTTTAGCCTCGATATTCTTAATTTTTTTATTTTGAGTCTAAGATTATTTACAAGGCTGGATACGTTTATTTCAAGACATACATATAGCATGAAACTCGCATATTTTGCTTTCCTATAAACTCCAATAAATCAAAAACAAATTCTTGATGAAGCTTGAGCTTTAGATTATTCTTACATTATGCAGCCCCCCTTTTTAGAATTTTCGAAAAAAGTTGGAGGGCTCAGTCCCTTTATCTTTTTTGCTGGATACAGCCAAGAATCATGAAACACAAAAATATCTGCGAAGTATTTTTGCTTCACCAAAGGTCAGCCATTGACGACTCAACCAGAAAAGAACAAAGATACAACTGACAGATTAAAACACATTGCAAGCTTTATATTCATGAAAATGTACACAAGGTTTAACATTTATAGATAGAAAATTCTTGAATGATTTCTGAATGAATTCTTGATGAGTACGTTTAGTTGCAGTTTGTATACACAGTTGGTTTTTATTGCTGCGTTCAGAAATGGGGTTAATTTCTTGATTCAACAACCGATTGCTACGCTTTTTTATAAGACCTTTTCCCGTCGCTCGATGTTCTAATATTTTGGAAAAAATTTCAGGCTCGGATTCTCTTAATGTTGTTTTTGTTTCAAATTTGAAATGTCTGCCAGCTATGAATACTTTCTAAGCCCAACAGTTTTGCATGACAATTTTAGTAGCACGGTTCATTTCTTGATAATCTGCTCTATTTTGCTAACATGAGAATATTGTGTCAATTCAAAATCCAACCGATTGTTCTCATAATTGATAAAAAGATCTTATGAATATTGCCTAGGACCTTCGTTATCGATGTTGTAAATGTTTTAGATGCATTTTCCATGGGCTCCGACAAAGGTTGAAAAGTGGGGGGCCAAGGGAAAATTTAACACCCATAACAAAAGATTTTGAAAAAAACTCTATTGTTTTCCAAAAAGGTCGGGGGGGGCCAAGGCCCTTCGTCGGAGGCCCTGTTTTCTGGCCATCTTTTGAATCGGGGCGCCGGAGCCACGGGGTCAGCGGGGGCAGCACGAAGGCAGCAGTTCCCTTTTCAAGAAATTGATTTTCGAGCAACAATAATTCATGTAAATATTTTCAATGTCAATTAAATCTAGGTCTCAAGCATCTCTTGGTACCTACATGCAAGACTTTTCTATTTTGATGATATTTGCTTGAAAATATCTTAAAATCGATTTGCAAAGCAATTTGACCAACAAAAAAAATTTTCGATGATAAGTTCTCTTTTACTTTCATGATCATGCTGAACAAATTTCAGATTGCTACCAACGTTGGCTCGCATATGTTCGATAGATCAGTCAAAGCATCAATGTTGTCATAAATTCAAGTAAAGGCTTAGGAACCGGCGGGAGGCACAGTGGGCACGTATCCCCCTTTTTTCCAAAATTCAGTTTACCTGCCCCTTTGCAGCGAATTGAGTTGCTCTTTTTGCCAACTGCATATAGCCACATAAGTTCCCTTGGATTGCTTAGGTGCTATAATGAGCAAAGGGGTGATCTTTATTTTGGGCGATGATCTAAAATGTTTCTTTTCGATCTGCTTTTAGAAACACCAAATATCCGGCTTACAACAAGGGTTACCGAAAGATGGTGGCGACTGAAATTTTGCCATGGGCCTTGAGGTTTAGGGCACTCGCGAGGTTTCCAGTTGTGAAAGCAATTTTATAGACATAACAAAATTGTGTAACTTTTTAAACGATTGCAAGAAGGTGACTGCAAAAAGTATTCTGAAATCAATTTATAGGTAATTTAAATGGCATGGTAGCCAAAATTTTTCTGCTCGCTTCGCAAAGGGCCTCGTCTTTCAATTGTAGAAATTAAACTTTGCAAAAATGAAAGAAAAAATCTCTGAGTTCTCATCGTTCAATGATTGAGATCTTTCCAAGAAATACGTATACAACATCACCTTTTTTTATTCAAATTATATTTAGCATTGGCAATTTAAAGAAGTTGACTTTATTGAGCTTGAATATAGCTGCAGATCGTACCAACTTCGAATAAAAAAAAAACAGTAAGTTCAGAGGAGTTATATCCAAAAGTTATATCATGCCATGCAGATTGTCGTCAGATCAGAACAAAATTTTGTTTTAATGTAAAATAGTATTGGGTCCAGCCTCTCTTGGTAGTTGATGTTGGGGTGAAGGAATTTCGAGAATGAAGTTTGACTGTAGTCTTGATTCAAATGTATTTTTATGGGTGTTCCCTTCATTAGCAATGCAAAATGTTCCTAGAGGCTACGCCCCCAGAACACCGACCCTCTCCCCCTTGAAAGGGCCTTCAACTACAACCAGACTTTGTCATTGGCTAATAAACGACGATTCCCGATCTGTTTTATCAGCAAACCTTGACACCCCAAGGTGCCCTTGATGCCAGTCCTGCCTTCGCTGCATCATGAAGCTCCCGGCGCCTCAGCTTAGGTTGTCATGCCATGGTGGCGGATTTCACTAAGCCCTTGAGCATTACAAACATTTTGCTCCCCACACTTTCAATGAAGTTCCTCCCTTCTCATGGTACCGGTGTTCAGATCTCAGCTGCTGCTCAACCAATGGTCGGAAAAAAACATCTATCCTCGTCATGTTCAAGTTGCACGATTACATATGCAAAGAACAACTTTAGATATTTCATAGGCCCCCATATTTCATATTTGTTAAACGATTACGACTACATCCCTGTTCTCAACCTCTCCTACTTCGAAGGTATCGACTGGTACATCTGCCCCTGGCGGTATGTAGCTATTTTATCTCAATTCAAGAACTCTTTCTGTTGTTATTTCTTTCCAAAGTAAGAAATTGATTACCTCATCTCCAGATCTGGAGCAATCTCTGCACGTGATTCTTTTCGAACTCTGACTCTGGCTGGTACTTTCAGGGGCGTACCTACCGGGACTCTGTGTGTTTGTGGGGGGGGGGGTTAAAATTTACAATATATAACTGTAAAATAAGTTCTACATTGATTAGCAAGAGTTGAATTTTGGTCGGTAAATTCACCCGTTTACACCCCCCCCCACCACTCCAAATCGTCGAGGCACGCCCCTGGGTACTTTGAAGCTTCTTTTTCAATTTCAGTTTTCATGATTATTTCACAACATACAATTGAGATTAAACTACATTATACTCACAGAAAGAAATTACAAAAAAGAAACTACCAATTATAATGAAGATACAAGTAAACTAAGTTGCATCGGTGCTCTACCGGTACCTAGCCGGGGCAGTGGTAGCGCCAGATGAGGGCTTGGAGGCTATCGCAGAATATAATTGTACACGACTAGCCAGTTTTGACAACAGAGCCCTTCGCGCCCAGATACCGGCACTTTGTCTTGGTTGAAAAAGGTTTGAATGCTTTTTTCAATACAGCAAAAAATTCGCATTAAAGAATTAATGAGGTTATTTTCTGTAACTGGCTGAAACGGCCCCTATACTTTTTGGCCTTTTTCAGAGTAATTCTTTGATGACGCTCTTTTGTTGATAGCATAAAAACAGGCTGGACATTCTCAACCTGCAATTTCTTTTAATGCGGATTTTCCTGTACAGTTAATACTTATTCATCAAATTTAAAAAACCACTTGGACCAATGTCATTCATTTTGGAAAACAATTCAATGTATATTTGTCCTGCAAATGATCGTTCACTTTTCAATGGGACTTTTGATCAATCGATGTTCGATGATATTCCAAATGAACTTGCTACATCCCAAATTTAACAATAATTGCAAGATGAGAAAATATAAAACATACTATAAAGTGTAGGTCATCGCCATCGAGGTTCCTAGATTTGCATTTCGAGGAGCAAATGCCTTGAATTTATGGTAATTAGCAAGACATCAGCATAATGGCTGAGAAAAAATATTCGGAATGTCCAGTTTTAATATAAATCAAAATCAAACACTAACATGCGCCATAGCATATCCTCCAGGTCGTGTTGTTTAGATAAGGCTCTTAGATGCGACATTTCTGTCTTTTATATCTAAAGCTTATCTTGCTCTTCGGGTTGAACTTGGATTTGGGAAAGCATAAATATGAAATAAGCCTATTTAATTCTTATTATACTTGCCTGCCTTTGACTTTTTTTAACTGTGAAATATTTCTTCCATCGTGGTAACAAAGATAAACAAAAAGGGGAGAATTCCCTTTTACAAGTGCTAAAATTTACCAAATTAGGCCAATACCAAGAACCATAGAAGTGATTCAATTAATCGTGTCTCACAGGAATTCTTACCCAATTCGGCAGTCTGTGCGACTCAGAGCTCCGAAGATGTCGCACTATAACGTTATGATACTGAACTTATAATATTAATGATTTTTAAAGTTTATTTCTGACAATAACGTGTCCATTATAATCGAAGTCGGGCACAACAGTTCAAATTCAAACCTTGGTCACCAGCAGTTGAAAAACAATCAGTTATCCCCAATTGTTGATGATTAGGAGAATCCTGAAGGAAATCCAT